CCTGCTCCAGGTTGTCCTGCCCTAGAACAGAGGAACACTGAGGTAAAAGGTAGGAAATATGCTCCCTCTGCTCCTTTCCAAAGAATTCTGCTGGCCTTGAAACATCTGCAAACATCCAGCACTATAAAAACCCTGCACATCTCACACAGCTTCCTCTAGACTCAAGGGATGCTAAAGAGATTTTCTGCAGAAACGCTTCGGTGCTCTGAAATAAATAGATTATAAATTGTTGTGGTTTGGGGTTTTTTTAATATTCTTCTGATGTTATTTGTTACAAAAATATGAGATCAGCATTTTGTCCTGTTTAAATCAGTTGACTGTGTTGCTCGTTGCCTTAATTTAGAATTTTAACCTGTACCCAGACTTCAATTTTCCTGGTAAGTGGCCACAGTAGCTGCACGTTTCTTGCTCTGAAACTTCCACAATTACACTTAAATTTTATTCCCACCTAAATGCCACAAAACTATACTTGAAACTACTTTAGCAATCACACTTTCAGAAAGGCAAATGAAAACTAGTTCTCTCTGTGCCTTTTAAATGTCTCTGGGCAGAGCCTCTGTCAGGATAAATTGTCCTCCAAGAAGGGAGGATTGGTATTGGGAAAAATTCCTGAAGCCACTGCTGGTAGATGTCAAGAAGATAAAATTATAAACCATAATGAAGTTCTGGCAGAATTTCATTTAAATTAAGATTCTCCCAGTGTTTCCTGAGCTGTAGGAAGAGTTTAACAAGCAGTCTCCCCAGGACACACACATCATCATCCATCATGGTCCCTGTGATCTTGTCTTCAGTGGAGACACGTCTACAACAAAGCCACACTGACATTGCTGCACCTTGAAGTGTCAAGCAAGGAAAGGAGGGGGGCTCTCCCCCCAAAAACTGGGATTAAATCCACAACTGGTGGTTTGCAGCATGTGTGTTTGGTGTAGAACCTGATGGGAAGGTGCATCTCTCTTACCTGGCTCAAGCAGAGGTGAAATTCTCCTCTCCATTTCCATTTCCTGAGCACTTGCACCTCATGACAAGGGTTCTGGCTTGTGCTGCCTGGGGATCTCCACCCCGTGACAAATTTGATGGCCCTGGAAACAATTGCATCAACTAGGAAAGTGAATAGAACAATCCATTCCCCACTGCCTGCCCCAGGGCTCAGTGCTCTCCTGGTCAGGCTTGCTGGCCCCTGGGGCTCTGGTCAGCTGCAAATCCCTCCTCCCTTCCTGCATTGGGGTATCTCCCAGCTCACCTCTCCATGAATTTCCAGCATCTATCAGAAGAGAAAGAGCCCCAGGACCTGCCTGAAGTGCAGTTTCACCTCAACATGTCCCCCAGGATCAACAACCAGACTCGTTGTCTCAAACAGCAAAAGGATTTTTACCTTTTTCACCACAAAAGTCTTCCACCAGCAAATGTTTTAATATTTTTAATTAAAAGTGCCATTTCTGGAAAAGATTTAAACCAGTAACACAGCAGGAGAGAAAGTATCATACAAACCAACAGTGAACAGTGAAGTTTTTCTGTAGATTTAAGCTTTTAAAAATAAATCCTCTATAAACTGTCCAGTGCAAGGTAAAAATTAAAAATGATCATAATTACACACATATATCACAAACCATTTATCTTTCTCCAACCACACAAACTGGTCGACTTGCCATCACTCAGGAATTCTTCTCAGGTTCTAAGAGCAACACAAGGGGACCCTTTTGTCCATGAATTCACTTCAGTTTGCCACCTACTGATCTAACAAACATCTGATCTGACAAACATCTGGCCCAGTATTGAATGAGAAAACAGCATGAACACGTCAGCACTGGAAGCTGGGTGAAGACAGAAGCATTAGCAAACACTTTTCTGCCTGTAAAGTTACAGATGTGCATTGACACAAGCATCAGCTCCAAGATATTTCCCTATAAAATCAGCATTTAACATTGGCCTAAAATAAAACGTCAGCAGAAGGGTCCAGGTTTTTTACAGATGTAAAAAGCAGCAAAGGGCAAAACTGATCTTCTCTCTTAAATCCTCTATTTTTTCAGCCAAGTGCCTCTTGTGCAGCATTAGCAGCTTTTGCATACTCATTTTTCTACAGACCACAGCCCCAAACTTTGCAATAACAAAGGTATTGATGTATCCAGGTGACTAGAACTCATCCTTAGTATCCTCCACTACTGGAATTCTGTGATGCTACCAAATGTTTGGCAATAGCAAATCCTCTCATATACCCAGGCTGCTGTCTTTACTGGGTATTTTTAAAAGATGACAACTAAAATCAACTGTATTATTTTCACATTTTGGCAGAATTCTTTGATTTTATCATTTTTATCATCCAAACAATTCTTCACTCTAAAGCATCGAAGTATTTAAATGATGAGCTGGTTTAACTTTTCCATCTGGCAAAGAGGAAAAGGAATAATTCAGTCCAACTAAGAAAAACAAACAGACAGAGACCTCCCCTCCCAAAAGGTCTTTTGGCAGTGGCTGAGGACCTGCAGCAGCCCATTTCCTCTGGGGCAGCTCGCCAGGGTCTCCCTGGCACTGCCAAATGCTCTGGAATGGCATCTGCAGTGCCAACAAATGTCAGCATGCAGATTATTGTAAATTATTTACAGTAAACTCACAGAAGACCACAGGGCACTTAAAAGCCTTGTTAAGTCTGCAATTATTATTCTAAGCTAGTGTTTAGAGGTAAAAACAGGAAAAAAATGCCATGGTGGAAGACAAATTTACTAAGGAATTCCCCACTGAGCAGGGAGCAAACCTGGAATGAGTTACCCAGAAAGAAAAAATCTCATGTAATTTGTAGATCATGCAGCCAAAAGATGATGTTTAATGCTGAAAAACATGGAAAGTGCTTGTTGCCATGTCTGACACCAAGATCAACACCATAGATATGTTACCTAAGGGTGGTCACTGAATAAAGGAGATATTTCCTCAAAGGATCCTCAGCAGCTTGGCCTGTTGGGTGGCACAGCAATGGTCATCAGAACCCAGAGCTTGGAAAATCTGGACTTAGCCAGCAAGAACCACTTTCTATTGGCAAGAAAACAGTGCTCCCACTTTTTTTTTTGTTCTATCAACAAATCACAGAGTGACTTTTAGACATATTCATATATTCTAAAAACATTGTGTAGGCAACTTTAGAATGCAAAGGCAAAATCATTTCCAAATCCATTTTTCAGTTGCTAGTCTAAATATGTTTAGTGATGTAAACCAGCAAATAATTAAACCAATATTTATGTTAAAAAAAAATCCCAATTTATTTAGATTTAGCTGAATTTTTCAAAGAATGTTTTCAAATCTCTTTTTAAGATGAAGTTTTAATGGTCTGTCCTTCCTGAAAAACACTTCAGCACTCCATTGTAATTTTAACCATCTCATGTAAGATGAGAAAAAGCCACTAGAGAAAGATAATTCATAATCAAATCAGCATATTCATAAACAAATACAATAATTTAGGAGAAGAAAAATGTGAAATGCAGTTTTTCAGCCCCACGAGGTGAAATCCTCAACTGTGCTGCAGTGTCTTGGGTGGTCAGAGAAAGTTCAGAAGGTGGTGGGGAGTTGGGAGAAACAGAATTGGGCCAACAGGAGCCCAAATTTGTTAGGGTTTCAGATGACATAAAACCATACTGAGAAGCCATAAAACATCAGTACCTGCTGGTCTTGACAATCAGGGTGTTTGCAGTGCAAAGAGCAAAGGCATTAGTGAAGTGATCAGTGCAGATGCTTTAAGTCTGGCTTGCTGAAGACTGAGTTTAGGCCAATCTATAGCAGCTTGATCTATCAAAGCCCTGGAAAACACTGGTCTAGAAGGTGGGAGAACTCACATGAGCAGCTTACTTATGCTGGTCTGCATCAAAAGGTTTACAAAGGAAAACAAGGAAGGTTTTAGTACATCAAACCATGATCCAAACTCAATTATTGGTGAAATTTCCAGCTGTTTATCTCATGGATGAAAATTCATCTAAAAGGTCAGGAGTCAAATAGTCAAAGGATGCAAATGAACCATGTGAGTCCCTTCAATATTGTAAAGAAAAACAGAATCTTGGCCCAAACTTTTCAAAGCCACAGAATGATGTCCAAAAGCCTGGCAAAGTGCTGTCTTAGAAGTTGAACATGGACAATAACATTTCTGGGGGAAACTTCTCCAGATCAAGAGAGAACACAGTAGACTTCTCTCATTCATACTCAAGGGCCCACTGAAAATGTTCATGGCAACACAGCTTCTGGACCACAGCTGCAATTTCAAAGTCATGGTGTTACCACCACTTTGAACAATATCACAAAGATCCAGCTGAGGTGAGACTCTACTGAGAGAAAATAATCCCTTTTGAGAGAAAAAAGGGCTAGGGGGAAAGGATTCTTTAGGTGCTCAAACAGTTCAGCATTTTTAGACAGAAATCCTACATAATTTCACACTGTTTTAAAATCTGAGTGTGAGACAACATTATACAATAAAGATATAAAGTATTATTTTGTATTATTTCCTGTAGATACGATAGCTCTGATCAAACCAGAAAACATTCCTCTAAGTTCTCTATGAAAACCATAACTAAAGACAAGCTTAAATACACCTGTTAATCAAGACATGAAACTCCATGTTGTTTATCTACAATGAAAACCAGTTTAAAGACAGTTTCCTTGGAGATGCTTGTTGGCACACTGTCCATCAGAAGCTCCTTTTCATCTCCCCTGGGGAAGTGATTGTCTACAGACACTTTCCCTGCTCAAAACCCATGCCAAGTGCATGTATTTTCATCATACAACAGTGAATGAGAGCAACCTGAGTTCCCCAGTGGGGTGTTGTGGGTTTTTTTTGTTAAAATACCACAGGCCATATGAAGTGTCTTCACTAAAACATCCATAGTCTTCTCCTTGTCCCTTTGCTTTTGCTGTAATTAAGAAGTATCAGTGATTTCTCCTTGCACATACTGAATCCATCTTCTTACAGCTTCTCACAGCCCCCAGGAAGGTGTAACAGGGGGGTGGCAGCTTCACAACCACCTGACCAGCAGGACTGACAGGAGCACTGAGGTGTTGACTGTCCACCTGCTGCCCTCTGAGGTCCTCCTGGCGTGCAGCACAGCAAAGACTGCATTGGTGTGGTTGGTTGGGATCTCCACGTTGCAGATCATCCCTTCACAGCAAGAGACACACTCCTGGTGAGACAAAGGAGATCACTGGCCACAGGGTAATTCAGCAGTGGCTTCTAGAGAGATCTGCTCTTTCAACTGCTTGCAAAGGCTCAACAGATCCAGTGCTTCCACCCGGCAGCCTGGCCCAAGGTCACAGAATCCCAGCATGGTAGAGGCTGGAAGGGACCTCTGGGGATCATCTAATCCAACCCCCCTGCTCCAGCACCCACGAGTCCCCAGGAGCACCAGGGTCACCCAGGATGGCATCCAGAGGGGTGTGGAATCTCTCCAGACTCCACATCCTCTCTGGGCAGCTGCTCCAGGACCCCATCACCCTCAAAATAAAGATAATAATCAAGCCTATCCCACCCCAGGATTATCCACCAACTCCTTAATGGCTGAGAAACTTGGCTGTATCATGAAATATTAACATGAAATATTTCAGATACCAAAACTGCCCCAGACAACATCTGTGTGAAATGCAAGAGGCTCTCTGTAGCTTATCTGCACTGCCTTCCACTGACCCCACCCGCAGCACCTCGGGGTGCTCCTTGGCACCTCCTCTTCTGCTCAGCAGGAGGAACAGGTCCTGAGATGCAAACCTCCAAGGCAGGGTGCTGCTCCTGCACAAAGGGGTGTGCTCACCGTGTGGCCGCTTTCGGGGTGATGGTGGCAGCCTACCAAGTGGCATTCTTCTCCTGTGGCACATTTTTTGGTGACTGAGGTACTCTTCCCGTGGTCTGTGAAGAGATGAACTGTCAAACAGTACTGAGTGCCTACAAAAGAAAATTGAAGATGTCTGTTGGCATGAAGTATGGGTTCTTTTGCAGGGTTGAAAAGCTTCACACGGTTTAGGTTCCCATAAAAAGGACTTCTTTGTGCTTGGATCAGGCCATTTTTCAACTTGATCAAAATACCACTTAGCAAGAAATTAATTAGTAATAAATCTCCAGCTTAACTGACCCTTCAAGCCTCCAGAGAGGGTGTCATCACTTAAACTACTTATTAGCACTGTAATCTACACATTTATCTTCCCTTCTCTGCTCTTGTTTTTTTTGCAGCACATTCTTGCTTGCTTTGTTTTCAGACAAGTTTCCTCATTCCTCTGGTTTCTTTCTTCCCCTTTCCCACTGTTACTGTAAATATCACTGCAAAGAAAAATGAGGAAACACATTTCTCTTCTTTTCTCTGCACTTATCATTCTCTCATCCAAGTATGAGCCTCAGTCATTCAAGTCTGGCTGCTCCCAGGCAAGCCTAGAGGGACCACTACACCTTGGGCTGGGAGCCAAGAGGAAGGAGATAAGGCTACAAGGGAATTCTTAATAAAATACAACTTTAAAATTAATTCCTAGGAAGCACATAGTTATATACATGGATATTTATATATAAACACACATATATAATTATAGGGGGTGGTGAGACTGGCACAGGCTGCCCAGGGAAGTTGTGGATGCTCCATCACTGGAGGTGCTCAAGACCAGGTTGGATGAGGCTCTGAGCAACATGTTCTAGTGAGAGGTGTCCTGCCCATGGCAGAGGGGTTGGAATGAGATTATCTTTAAGGTTTCCTCCAACACCTTCTGTGATTGTATGAGTCTATGAATTGATCTGTCATTGCTGTATTAATAATGCATTGATTACTATATTAATAATGTGTTGATATAAAAGTTTTTATACAGGTAGATAGACATAGAAATGTTTTCACTGTAGCTCTGCACTCTGAAATGCTCAAAATATTGACCTCAGCAGAAGTGGCATGACTCAGTATTGCTAAGAACACAGAGGGCAGCACTGTGTTGGCATGTTAATCCCATTCAGTCAGACTTCCACAGGAGGGCTGAGTCAGGGAGAAGCAAATTTAACTATCATAAAGAATCTCCTTAGTACAGAGGCACTTACTTTCAGGACACCATCTATCTTCAGCCCATCTGTTGCAGTTGTAATTGTCCACTGCGTTGTCACAAGTGAAGCACTTGAAACTGTTTGGAAATGGAGTGGCTTTAAAAGTATTAAAATACAGTAAGTTTGCAAGTATTATGAAACAAAAATATTCAAAATAAAACTGGTGGTGTTTGTACACACACAGATTCACAAAAACATACACAAACATTTACATATTTTCAGGGGTGCAGCACTGTTAGACAAATAAAACTGATGAAACAAGTTCTGTAGAAAGCTTTTACATTTTTAAGTGGTTTTGCTCTGCCTGACCTTTAAAACACCTCCTGTTTTCATTCTCTCATCACCATCTAAGCACTGGTGGGAAAAACAGGAAACTTCTGATATATATCTTCCCATGATACAGCCTCATGTCTGGGTGTGCAGATACCCCAACACCATCTACATTCAAATGGCTTTTGATTCCTTTGATGAACAAAAAAAAAATCACACCTTCAAAACCTCCAGCTTCAGCTCTTGATCTCCAGCTCTGAAGAAGTTCCATCCCTTTGGCAAAGGGATCAGGAGGAGTATTTTAAATTTTATTTCTATTATATGAAGCTATAAATATTTTAAGATGTGCAGCTCCCTAGATGCAGATATATTCCTATTAGATCTAGCTGTCCTGATTGTTTTAATGATGCATAGAATGAAAATCTTCTCCCCTTAAATGAAGGGCTAGAAGAACACTTCTGATGCTAGATAAGAGGCAAAAAAAAAATGATGCTATTAGTGACAACTGGCTTCACAGGTCTCACAAGGTTTTTTAATTACCTTCAGTTTGAATTAATTGCATACAGCACACCTATTCTTCCTCTTACAAAAAGCCCAACAAGATAAAAGACAAAAAAACATCTGTTCTGTATTATTTATGAGAAACCCACTGCATAATTTGCTCTGTAGGAAGACATTTCAGAGAGAGAAAACCATAATGCAAGCAGTTAAAGCCCTCATGCACTCCTTAATTTAGCTGTGTGTGCCATTGTTTTGCTTCCATTCAGCCAGCTTCTAAAAACCTGAGAAATAAACTAAGCTGCTGGGGGTTGAAAAGCAAACGTTGCTCTTTCAACTTTTTATGCTTCACGTTTGAAGAAGACAACACCTAAAAAAACAAATGATTGGAAGAAGGCAGCAATTGAGTGAAGTGTTGAAGCTGCAATTGCATAGACATGAAAAAAAAAGCATAACGGTCTACTCACGGTCTAGTGGAGGTCTCACATTATAGAAGTTGATGTTCTCAGCTGAAACCCAATTTCCTGAAAGGATGAAGAAGGCAAGAAAGGCTCCGAGCAGCATGTGATAGAATAACAACATGCTGAGGGTTATTGAGCATGAAAAGCAAACCTCTTCGGCCTAGGACAGAAAGGGAACACATTGTTTAGGGCAAATCATGAAGAACCGAGCGTGGAGAAGGATAAATTTCCTCTGAGCTACTCCTGAAACCTTGAAAAGTCAGTGTGTGGCTCTGTGCTGGGAGGCTGGCTGAGGCAGGCAAGCAGCAAGGCTGAGGAATGCACAGCTGAGCAGCTACTGCCTTCTGCTGGCTGGGAGCCTGCACGGAGTACTGACATTTCCACCAAAAAAAAGGGTCAAATTATTCCTTTAATCTGTGTGTCCTTCTAAGCAATGCCAATGGTAGAGATTCCTTCTAAGCATTCCTAAAAATCAGCACCAAAACCTGAGCTCCTTTATACCCTGCTTGAAAGGGACAGGATTACAATACCATTAAAGAAAGCAAAACTCAGACAAATATCAATTTTTAACACCAAAGCCTCAAACCCAAGACCAATTCCCTACCTGAGAGACATCTCTGCAACCCTGTTGACTCCAGACAAGCTCCATCCTCTGAATTCCACGTGCACTAACCAGTGGGCACAGCATTAAAAACCCTGAGCATAAATTGGATTTATTGCTTTTTTGAGGTGCACACCAAGGAACTGCTAAGGAAGATGCCTGGTGAGGGTAAAAATTCTCCTGGAGTTTTGGAGAATTGCAAAGTAGAACATCCAAGGAGATGAGATGCTCATCCTGGGCATGCTTTGCATATTTATTTGGGGCTCCCCAGGTATTTGGGTAAGGGTTTCTAGAGAAGAATTAATCAGTGGATGTTCTGGCCACTTTGGTATTGAGATGTACACACACAGAGCCACAGAGATGCTGGAGACCTAGTTCAGACATTAAAGAGCAGAATCAGCTTACGTGGCACTCTGCCCATGCAAATCCCCAGAAACAAGCTGGAGTGGAGGCTCCTGTCAGACCAGAGATGTTGCTTTGAGCTGCCAAGTGCATTCATTCCTCCCAGAATCTCTCTGCACACCCTTCCACAGGCCTATGGAGATGGACACCACTTGTGGCAGAGAAGTCAAAAGATTTCCTTCTTTTTCATGCTATTTTTTTGTTTGGTTGGGGTTTTTTTTGTCCAATTGACACAGAGAAGAATTACTTGAGAGATTTTGCCACAAAAAAAAAACCCAATCAACAGAAAGTTCAATTTCATGCACTGGGAGTTTATCCAGCCTACTGAAAATTTGGTTTTTAATCACAGCTTTATGAATATATTTCAGCAGATACTGAGAAAACTGCAGCATACCTCTGCCTGCAGTGCACCTCCAAGGCTGTTCTCTGTGGATGCTCCAGATTCCTCCTGACTACAGCCCAGGATCTAAAGGAGGATGAAGAAGAGGAGCCTGTGGAAAACAAACAGCAACCCATGATCATAATTCTGGCCTGAAGGAACTAATTAGTTTAAACACTGTATGTCCTTATTGATATTGGAAATGAAGATGGAAACCTAGCAGCGTGGTGTTTTTTCTAACAAAATATCCAAGAGAGAAGCACCTGAACTACACAGTGCCTAAACCTCCTCACCTTTATAATCCTTATCTTAGGTTTCTCAAATCAATTTTTGCTCACAAAATAACCTTTAATCCTAATGTCAAGAGGTGCCAGAATTTCTATTCCAGCTGATAAATTCCTTCTTTTCTTCACAGACAGTAATTCCCTCTATTATCCCATCCCACTCTTCTGCTTTAAGGTCTGTTGGAGCAGGTTTCCATGATGTAACCAAGAGAAGGAAGAACCATAGTGCACCAAACCCCTTCATTAACACCACAACCATGACTCTGAATGAGCTGAAGAGTTACTCAATGTAATAACACAATATCACAGGTACCAGAAGCAAAATACATTAGCATAAATTCTGTAAAATTATACTTTCTATTAAAATAGCCATTCTAAAATGAACAGCTAGAGACACACAAGGGCTGACTTAAGAGATCTTCATTTCCCACACAGAGGAGAATTTTTAGATGCTGATTTAAAACCAAAACCACCCCTGAAGCACAAAATATTAAACACAATGGTAGGATCATAGAATGGTTTGGGTTGGAAAGGGCCTTAAAGTCGCCTAGTTCCAAGCCCCTGCCATGGGCAGGGACACCTCCCACTAGAGCAGGTTGCTCAAAGCCCCACCCAACTTGGTCTTGAACACATCCAGGAAGCCACAACCCAGCTCTTTGGTGACATCCCCTTTTTTGGATGTAGAAGCTACATCCCTCCTGTCCCTATTTGCAGGTTATCCTTTCCCACAGTTCTCTCCAGTCACCCACTACTGGAGTCCAAACACAGAATGAAAAGTCTGGTGCCAGTGTGTGGAGTGAAAAACAGCAAATCCAGCACAGGCAGGGACCAGTTTTCAAAGCCACATGTCCCTGATCCTGATCACCTTGTTCTGGTGTTTCTGGACAACCAAAGATCCACTTTTCACTGACTCCCTCTGGGCAGCATCAGGCCCTTAATGGACACAGGCTGCTTGGGCGTTGTTGGTAAGAGGATGAGAAGAATCTTTCTTGAGCCTCCAGTGCCAACATCCTTCTTTACAATTCCCTTGCAAAAGAGCTCTATTTACACCCTTTGAATAGCACAAGCAAGTTACTTTGAAGTTGGCAGGACAGTGTTAATCAAGGAGCAAATTTCAGGGGCTTTCAGGCAGCTCAGTAGTATTTCATTCCTTTGGTTTGACTCCATAGGACAGGTTATTGAATCATTTCACTGCATAGCAGTCACAAAATTTATCTCCTCCAGACTTTTTCAGCAGTTTAGGTTGGGAAAAATTTGCCTTTCTGGGGAGACTGGTCTGTAACTTGATCTGAGGCACCTGGATGGCAAATAAAAGGCCCAACTCCACTCCTGCCAGCTTTTGACAAATTCAAGCTCTCTCCTTCTCCCCCCCTCCAAGGGCCTGTTGCTTCCCCCAGAGAAGCTCATGCCAAATGGAAAATTTTAGAGAATATAACTACCAAAAGCTAGCCTCCAGTTGGTGGAAAGCACTGTAAATTGACCTCCCAATTTGCTGTAGTCAAAGGTGTCCTTGTTTGCTAACCAGGCCAATAAATAATGGATGTGGTTTGACACAAGTCTTAGTTACACAGCTGCACCAGAAGCTGTTCACAAATAAACCAGGAAAATACTGGCCCCCCAAAAAATGCCTTTCATATCTTATCCAAAATCTTTTAAATGCTTATTTTCTTCATAGCTTCTTATCTCTGTTGTGCTTTCATCTAATATTATCTAGTGGCATGAGTAAACATTTCATTACACCCAGTTAGGAACTCTTGTTAATGAAGGGGAAAAAAAATATGTCACAATACAGATTAACTGATATAAACAAGAGCAAAGACTGAGACAGAGCTTTCCTGGGGTGAGGGAAGAAGACCCAAGAGGGAAGGGCTGTTAATGTATCAAGAAAACAATGAGGAATACAATAGCTGACATAATTAATATATTCCAGAAGGTTTTCAGGTCTCTTTTGCAGCTAGAGGAGTAGGAAGCAGTGCACTGGCTCTCTGATTTTAATAAAATTCAAGCCTGTTGACATTGTTTTTCCTGGCAGACTCTGTGGAGGATTAGCAGATTTAACATCAGATACAGAATGCAAATGACACTTCCTCCTGTCATTTAGTAAGCAATTTTCAGGTGCTATTAGATAATTGCAAATGCTTATGTTAAGCTGGTTAAATACCACTTCAGGACATAGTTAGAAATACATAGGCAGAAAGGTATGCAAGGCAAGGGCTGAAAAAAGTCAAACCCAACACCTGATGTCATCGGGTGTTCCCTACAACAAACCAGAAAGGCCAAAACTGACACTTCAGCTTATCTAAAAGGACAAAAATAGCTCCTTGGCTCCCCCATCTCTTAGCCAAATATTGCTGTTCTCACAGATTTCCCCTGGAGACCACTGAATTTCATCTGTAAGCTGCCTTTTGCCCCACTTCAAAACTTGGGGAGTGAAGAAGTGGATGGAAGGAATTAGAGAAAACCTTCATTTTCTTTGGGAAATAGGTATAGCATGTTTAAACTAAAAAAAAAAAAACAGGGGAGGAGGGGTATTTTGAAGGATAACCCTCTCCAAAATACTATTACAGATCTGGAAATGAAAAGTATTTGTTATACAAGTTCTGTCTTCCCTTACCTACTGGGCTGAAGCCTCTATTTTCTGTTTTTTTTTGCCTTCCAGCATGCTATCATTAATAGAGAATAACAGGAAAATTTGCATGACACTGACAGAATCCCATTTCAGTCACTAACCTTGTTTTTAAACACATTTCTTTACCCTCACCCATGAGCCACGCTTGGAAATGAATTCAGTCTTAATTACAAGAAATTGTAGAGTCCTTTATCTGAGATCTTATAAAACACACACAGATCTGGTGATGACACCATCGTTTAGCTCAGGGTGTGATGCTGGAGATGGTGAGACACGGAGGTGTCTGACTACACCTACAGCCAACTACTATGGTTTTCCAAAAAATATTGATGTGTGATTAAATGATGAATCTGAGCAGCACCATTGAAGCATTTGCAAGAATAAAACCTGTCTCTGTTGTTGAAGTTCACAGAAAAAAAGAGCCGTGGAATGAAAACTGCATGAAGTGATGTGACATCTCATTCCTTTTCTGAGCTAAAACTCCTCAGCAAAAACGAGTCTTGAGCACTGACATTTAAAATTCAGATGGGTTTTTAATTCAGATGACATTTAAAGTTCAACGGATCATTGTTGGAAAGTAATTTAATCTATCTAAGATTTCATTAATAAGAGATAAATCTCCTATTTCCTTCAGCAAGTGGATCATTTCCTCAAGGAACAGCACTTTGCCAAAGCTGTGGGTGACCAAAAGTTTCACACTTCAGCTTCTAACTTCTACATATCACAAGTTTTAAATCTCTCTCCTACCTGTGCAAGACTGGAATTCAGAACTTAATATTACTCTAGAAAAAAAAGTGATTGTAGGAATAAGCAGCATTTTTACTCT